AAAAGACTCGTCAATGGACCTGCACAGCCCTTTCAAACCTCCAAAACCTGAAAATTTTCCAATTGAAAACAAAAATACAATATCCATGTTTACAAAGATTGACTAATAAAATAACCATGTATGTTGTAAGAGTAGCTAAGATGCTAGTTTTCATTCTTTTTTTCCAGCTATCATGGAGAAAAAAAAACTAGTATGAAGCTGGCATCCGAACATGATAGAAAATAAAGAAATATAAGTGCAAGGTGAGTGGACACATGCAGGCATAGCAATAATTCTGAGTCCTAACATTATTAGTAGTATTTCAATTTTGAAGTGATAAATTACAATTTACAATAAGATACTTGGTCCAAAAACTTTTTTTTAAAAATGTACCTAACATTAATATCAACCCCAAAGACAGCCACCCTCCTCCATAATACAAAAACAAATATACTATTCCTAAAACAAATCATTCTAGAAAGTCAAGTAATTTCAGTTTTCCAACTAATTCATAAAATACAAAAACAACAAATCTTATCAAGCAAAGGATACCAATTAATGTAATGCACTAACGACATACCAACAACATACCAAAGGGCACCAACTAATGTACTCCAAAAAATATTCTTATCTCCTTACTCTCACCAACAACATACCAATGGCATGGAAATTCAATAAAACCAAAGGACACCAACAAATGTACTCCAAAAAAAGTGCAACAAATAATAAAAAACCAAAATATCTAAATATAAACAATTATTATGAAACCAAGTCTACTTTGACAACTTTTAGTTTGCGATTATTTCTCTCTCTTTGTATGGTTCTTCTCACAACAACAACAAACTAAACTTATCTCGCTAATGAAAAAAAACAAAAGAACCACCAAAAATGCATGAATACCTTATTTTGACATCATCGAAGCATATATTTCTACCATTTGAGTATATTGTAGGTGAACTATTTTATTTCTCTCATTTGGTGTTATGATGAAATGCCAGAGCATGGGAAAGTGCTAGAAGAGATTTCCCTTTCCACAACAAGTAAACTTAATAAATTCTTTAATTATATGTATATATTTAAAAGGATCTGTCGGTTTATTCTAAGCTTACCTCAGTCAGTGCTTCCCAGCTAGCGAACGTGTTGTGTTTATCTTTTTTATTTCAACCTGAAATAGGAAGGAGTTGGGCAATGGAGAGAGATCAACAGATTGATTTCCACTAAGAGCAACTGAATCTTAACCAAAAGTAGTGATATAAAATCTGTTACATATAAAGAAAACAGACCGGAAAGCAAAGTATGCGAATCAACTTTGAAAACAACTAGGTGTGCAATTTCAATCTCTTTGTGGTTGTTCAGTATTTTGTAAAACATTAAAGTGGACTGGAACTGCAATTCTACAACCAAAATCTAATTACTCACCAATATCACTATAAAAGTACTATAATGCATCATTACAATATGCACTGTCACTCCATTCAAACAAATCTTTCAACCTATATTCATTACAATACATAGTGCCCCTCACTAAATCCCAATTCCCCTCATCTTGAACACTGTTAAATAATTATAAAAGTGGACCTATAAGTCACCATGTTTAATGAAAACAACAGGGGAATTTTAAATTGTTCCTCAATTTCAAAGTCAATTAACTGAAAAAATTCAAATCCTAACCATTAACATAAAGAAACCATTAATTTTAAAACATCTTTTAAATATAAAAAAACCCAATTAACTGATGAATTTACCTTTCATAGCTATGAATTTTATAAAGTAAAAATAAAACAAAGTAAGTTTCCATCTTTCTCTCTATAACCATAATTTTCCAGTTAAAACAAACAAAACGACAATTTTATAAAAAGAAAACAAAGTAGCAATATTTCAGCAAATCAACAATAGCTAAAGATACAATACTAAATAATAAATAACCTATCTTCATAATTGTGCCTAATTGGTGATCATACGAGATTGTGTTTCTCATGACACATACAATTTCAAGGAAAAGGTTATCTTAAAAATAAAATAAAAAAATATTCAACCCTCCATTAAGGTAACCCAAAGCATCGTCAACTTTCGAACAGAACAGTTATCTAGACATTCAAATGTGACTTGAATCAGCAGTAATAGTTTAATTAAATCAAAGATCACAATCCAATTAAACAGAGCGCAGGAAACCACCAGGAGCATAAATGGATGAAATACCAATGTCCCATATTTGAACAAAACAAAAAGACCAAACCAAATTCACAACTCAAAAGGCTTTTTCTTTTTTGTTGTTCCATCCCTCATGAAAAAATTCTAAATAATCTTTACCAATGGGGTTAGAGAATACTTCCGCCTCAACTTGAAAGACACGTGCAGAAGCCTTTAGATCCCTTCCACTCTTGTAAACACCATTAAATAAACACAAGTTCTCTTAAGATAACGCGGTTCAACAACCTTGGTCCCGGCCAATGGGCCATATTTCTTCCCCGTGTCTCATCAATTATTGCCTCGGTAAACATCTATAGTAGGCCACTCCCTCTTTATCTCTTCTGCACCTTTTCTCAATCTCACTTGGTGTCTCTCTCTCTCTCTTCTAGACACAGCTGATTTCTCTGACTATGACATTTTCAAAACTTTATTCCCACTCTAGGGTGGCTTTTATGTTTATTCCCATTGTAGGGTAAAACGGCTTTAGTAATGTCGTTTTTCAGAAAATGACTTTTAAAAAGCCGTGTTTCGCGATTAAAATAATAATAAAATTTGAACACAGAAAATCGGCTTTGGAAAAGCTGGTTTTAATTAATTCTGAATTAATTAAAAACGGTTTTGACCAAAAATATTTTTAATACAAAAACGGTTTTAGAAAAGTCGTTTTATAAAATGGATTTAGAAAAACTGTTTTCACAAAAAAAAAATTTCCCGTTTGTTTTCTCACGTGGGAAGGTTGTTGAACTTGGGAACCAAAAGAAAAGAGAGAGAGTAGCAATTCCAATGCATTCAAAGATGGGTTTCTTTAGAAAATCACAACATAGACAAAACATAATTCATATAATATTCCAACAAATCTCATCAAGATTTCACGTTCAATTACTTATTATAAAAACATATATTGTGAGGGCTTTGAAAGCTGTTATTTTAGTAAGTTATTTTAGTTTTGGCTATTTTAGTAGATTAAATTTTTGTATTTGGAAAGATAATTGGATTTTTTTTATAGTTGGATATGATGTTTGTGAGAAAAAAAATGAAATGATTATGGGTTTGATGCAATATTTTGTCTTATTAACTATTTTAACCTATTTTATCTTTTTGTAAATTTTAGCCTAAATTAAGCTAAAATCCCACCTCCCAAACAGCCCCTATATATTCACACACATTCCTGATCTTCCATCGTCTCCTCCTTTTCTACGTATAGGTTTGAGTGCTGTGTTTGGTAACAATTTTCAAACATTGATTCCACATCCACATTTGAAGGTCATCCTCCCAAATGTCCCCCCGGACGACATCTGGCTGGTTGACCAAAAAATTTTAAAAAACAACACAAAACTCAAAATACAACTCAAAACTCTTTTCAAAACTCATAATCAAATAAATTTTCTCTTTTCAAAACTAATGACTCAAAACACGATTCTACACTCAAATCATGATTCTAAAAATAATTTTAAAAAACAAAAAAAAATATTTTTTAAAAATAGAATTTTGAAATGAGTTTGGTTTTGAGTTTTGAGTTGTGTGTTTGATTATGAGTTTTGAAATTAATTTTTGAATTAAGTTTTGAGTAATTTTGAGTGGTGTGTTTGGTTATAAAATGCTTTTATAAAATCGTTTTTGTATTAAAAGTATTTTTGGTCAAAAAATATTTATGTTGAAAACATAAATTAAAATAACCTTTAATTTGAAAATACAAGTATCGCATCCAATTATAAAAAATTCTAATTATCTTTCTAAGCACAATAATTTTAATTTACTAAAGTAGGCAAAAACTAAAATAACCTATTAAAATAACAATTTCCCAAACCTCCACAATATATGTTTTATATAGGGTTCGTTTGGGATGTAGGTTGACTTTTTGACTATTTTAGCCTGTGGTTAAAAAGTCTCGTTTATGAGACTTTTGTGAAAGAAAAAATAAAATAATTATGACTTGGATGTAACATTTTGCGAGTGTTTGGGAAGTTGCTATTTTAGTAGGCTATTTTAGTTTTTGACTATTTTAGTAGGTTATTTTAGTTTTTGACTATTTTAGCAGGTTAAATTTTTTGTGTTTGGAAAGATGGTTGGATTTCTTTGTGCTTGGATGTGATGTTTGTGAGACAAAATTAAATGATTATGGGTTTGATGTGATATTTTATCTTATTAACTATTTTAGTCTAGTTTGTCTTTTTTGTAAATTTTAGCCTAAATTAAGCAAAAATCCCACTTCCCAAACAGTCCTTTTGTCTTATTGAATTAAAAAATTTATTTTATCTTTTTGTGAATATTTTAGTCAAAAAATCTCTATTTAACCCAGGCCAAACAGGGGCATAATAAGTAATTGAACGTGGAATCTTGATGAGATTTATTAGAGTATTATATGGATCATGTTTTGTCTGTGTAATAATTTTTTAAAAAAACTCATTTTTTGAATGCATTGGAATTGTTGCTCTCAACAACCTTCACATGGGAAAACAAATATAAAATGATTTTTCTAAAGTCGTTTTTTATTTAAAATATTTTTGAAACTCATCTTTGAATGTATTAGAATTGTTGCTCTCTCTCTCTTCTTTTGGTTCCCAAGTCCAACAACCTTCCCACATGGAAAACAAATATAAAACGATTTTTCTAAAATCATTTTTGTATTAAAAATATTTTTGGTCAAAAAATAGTTATGTTAAAAATATAAATTAAAAAAGAAATTTAGTGTAAATCAAAACCATTTGTAATTACTTCAAAATTAATTAAAACTTGACTTTTTCAAATCCGATTTTCCATCTTCAAATTTTTTTATTATTTTAAACGCAAAATACAGCCTTTCAAAAGTCGTTTTCTGAAAAACGATATTGCTAAAGTCGTTTTTATAAGAATAAAAATAAAAAGTGGGAATAAAATTTAAACTTGAAGAAACTTTACATCAGAGGAGGACTATTGTGTAATCTGGGCATAATAGTAGCTACCACAGTTGAAATGTTACAATTGAAGTACTTGAGTAACTTAAAGATGCCTTGGAAAGATATTATGATGTTATTTCCCAATTTGATTTACCTGGAGAAAGTAGAATGTCCCGGCCTCGATTCCATCTCGTGTGATCGAAATGGTGTTTGGATGAGGACAGACAATGGCATCGATGAGAAATGCGGTGGAAGAAGCCACTGAGCGAGGATAGGAAACCTCTTTCTATTGTCTCTCTCTCTTGTCCTCTCTCTTTCTCTCTCTCAAGACTCCAACACGACCCTGTTTTGGTAATAGTTCCTTTCAAGACTCCAACACGACCCTGTTTTGGTAATAGTTCCTTTCAAAGCCATGGACAGTAGTATCTCCCAACCAAATCCACTTAACAACCACCACCACAAAGCTACCACCGCCCCAAACAACAACGACGACTACCAAGTTGCAGATCATGATCTCACTAACATGATTGGTCGAGATCTTAATTTCATGAAAGAGACCATGACACAGATTCAGAAGTTTGTAGATCGTATGAATGTGCAAATCAACCAGGCTTATGAGAAATTTGAGGAGATCAAAACAAGAGAAGGAGGGAGTGATACTAACGAACTTGACCAACTGAAAATGTCTGTCAAGAAGTTGAAATCCCAGATTCCCTCCAAGCTTAAAATCCATTATGATGATGATTCAAAACCACATCCAAAACCATGGTCCGATGGATCCATTAACGGTAGCAGCAGCAACTACCAAGTCGATGTAAACAAGTCCGGTTATTTGCACAGCTTGTACAAGGAGCCAAAGTTTGATCACACCTCTGCACAGCTGAAAATGTCTTTCCATAGCCTCGATTGGGGACAAAAAAAAATTTTGGATTTTTTCTTGATTTTCCCAGAAATGGCTACCATGAAGAAAAGGTTTGTGATTTACTGGTGGATTAGCGGGTGCATTCCATTCCAAGCAGAACAAGCAGAGCTTCATGCCAACGGTATCTTGGATGGGCTTACTGCAAAGGGCTTCATCGAGCCTATCTACAAAAATTGTGGATTGATTGTGGATAGCTACAGGATGCCCCCTGCCATTCGTTGTGTTTTAAATCAACAGTTGATCAGTTTGGTGATTTGACGTATCGAGGCCTCACCTTTTGGGAAATAGGATCCTCCTAGGTAGTGAATGTGTAGTGTTTATCTTTTTTATTTCAACCTGAAATAGGAAAGAGTTGGACAATAGAAAGAGATCAACATATTGATTTCCACTAGGAGCAACTGAATCTTAACCAAAGTAGTGATCTAAAATCTGTTACATATAAAGAAATAGGCTGGAAAGCAAAGTATGCAAATCAACTTTGAAAACAACTGGGTGTGCAATTCCAGTCTCTTTGTGGTTGTTCAGTAATTTGCAAAACATTAAAGTGGACTGGAACTGCAATTCTACTACCAAAATCTAATTACTCACCAATATCACTATAAAAGTACTACCATGCACCATTCCAATATGCATTGTCACTCCATTCAAACAAAATCTTTCAACCTATATTCATTACAATACATAGTGCCCCTCACCAAATCTCAGACATTAAAATTCTCAATTTTCTCAAGAATATGAAACAATTGAGGGTTCTTAGCCTTCGAGGAATTTCATTGATTACAGAGCTTCCTCAATTCATTTCACAACTGACTGGTCTTAAAACTCTAGATCTCAAATCGTGTCACAACCTTGAGGTGGTTCCAGATTGGATTGGCTTGCTTGAAAATTTGACACACTTGGATATATCTGGGTGTTACCTTTTAGATCACATGCCCAAGGGGCTTGGTGCACTATCTAATCTCGAAGTCCTTAAGGGATTTATTATTAGAGATTCCAAGGACGAAAAGTCATGTACTATCAATAATTTGACAAAATTGTCAAATCTACGAAAATTGAGCATATCCATAAGTATGAAAGAATTTCCAACAGATCTGCAGCTTCATCATTTACAAAGATTATACCTTTTACAGAAGTTGAAAATATCTTGGTCAGGATGCATTTTACGAGGTAAAACTGATGATTCACCTAAGCAAGCACAACTATTTTCCAAGCAGACAACGCTGACAAGATCATTCATTGAGCCGCGTGATCCAAAACTTCCTCTCTTATTGAAACTTCCTTCATCGTTGCAAAAACTAGAGCTTGAGGGTTTTCCTGAGATAGATACACCCGGTTGGTTACGGTCTGACAATTTGAACAACTTGAAGAAACTTTACATCAGAGGAGGACTATTGTGTAATCTGGACAAAATAGTAGCTACCACAGTTCAAATGTTACAATTGAAGTACGTGAGTAACTTAGAGATAGCTTGGGAAGACATTATGATGTTATTTCCCAATTTGATTTACTTGGAGAAAGTAGAATGTCCCGGCCTCAATTCCTTTCCGTGTGATCAGAATGGTGTTTGGATGAAGAAAGAATGCCATTGATGACAAATGTGGTGGAAGAAGCCACTGAGAGAGGATAGGAAACCTCATTCTATTATCTTCCTTTTCTACTTCTAGGCTGGCAAATTAATGTCTTCAAAGGCCCAGTTTGTTTAGGCACATCACAATCCGGAGTGGACTGTGATGGATGAACAGTATATATAGCTCATGTTTGTTTTGTGTTGTGGCCTCTGGATTGTTAGTCCGTTCGGACTGGGATGGGCCTTGGGCGAGGGTATTAGAAATTCGGGGTGGAAGATGGCATTAGCAAACTAGTCCGTTCGGATTGGGTGTTTCCGGATGTCCGCTCGAAAGTCCGGCCGGTCAACCGGTCAACCGGTCAACTCAATTTTTTTTTTTTTTTAACTTGTTGGGCTTTTTTAGTTAACATTAATGTTTAATATTTTTTTATTTTTTGTTAAGTAAAAATCATAATTTTATTTGTTTTATTATTTTATGTTTATTTTATATAAAAATAATTTAACAATTCCCTCACTATCAATCCCCTCACTAACAAAACAAACACAATTTTATTAATCCCCTCACTATGAAAACAAACATAATTTTACTACTGAAAATGAGTGGGAGCTCTAATTAGAGCTACCACTAGTGATGTGTGCCACAGTTTATATTGTGTCTGTTTTTTTTTTTTCTTTTTTTCTTTTTTTCTTTTTTTCTTTTTTTCTTTTTTTGCTTTGCCACCTCATTAGTGGTGGGTTTAGAGCTACTAAATTAGTGAGCTCTAGCACCACCGTTTTACTAATCCCCTCACTATCAATCTCCTCACTATTAATCCTCTCACTATCAATCCCCTCCTTTCTATCACTGAAAACAAACGGAGCCAAAGATAGTATATAATAATTTTCCTCTCTCATGAAAAACTAGTTGTACGTATTTATTTATTGAATCAAATGTATATGTCTTGAAGGTCATTCATCAAGCCTTCTTTGCAAGTTTTCAATAAAGTTGCATTTGGGTAAGGCAGAGCATGTATTTATTGGTAATTTTTCTAAGGGGGAAAAAAAAAATCAGAGTTTGAATTTTGTAAAAAAAAAAAAAAACAAGCTTTAATTTTTAATTTTATCAATTTAAATTCTAATTTTTTGATTTGTTTTTAATTTAAACCATCGACCTACTTTCCTATAAGTTACAATGAAAGATATTTTATCAGCTTTGAAGAATTCTTGATTTCAAATGAGTTTATTTTTTTTTAATATAAATTTTTATCTAAATGTATAATTTATTACACTGTCTTTAACTTTGTAATAAATAATGCTGAGTTTTAATTTTCCATTGCCCTTCATTTTTCTCACATTAAGTTATATTCAATGTTTCAGTTACTTTACACATTAACATTTTTATTATGTGAATGTGATGTTTCCACTGCCCTTCATTTTTCTTGCATTAACTTATATTCAATATTTCAGTTACTTTGCACATTAACATTTTTATTTTTGTAAATGTGATGGAAATTAGTAAACTACTAAAAAGGAATATATATAAAAATTTAAAAGATGGGAGCGATGGGTATTGGTATAATTGTGAGAGATTTCATGAGAAATGGCATCAAGCAGTGAGAGAATTGCAAATGAATCTGTTGTGGACAACATTAAAGTAGTTGGGGCACACAAAGTTGTGTCTTTTGCCAATGGCTTGAATTTGTTGCATACGGGCTAACGAATATTTACTTTTAACCAAACAAATTTGTTTTAATGAAGAAAATTTCTAAATCTATTGCGAATCATACAAGCTGAGAGTAGTTTCTTTTAACCATACAAATTAGTTGTAATGAAAGAAAATTTCTCATCTATTAGGAATATCATTGCTGATCTGGTATTAAAGAGTGGATGGGAGTTTTAAATCTGCTTGTATTCATGACAAAATGCTTGGAAATGAAACTGCCCATCTATGGTCACTTTGAATGGAAGAGGTTCTAATTGAGGTTGTTCCTTGTGTCCATTCTAATTTTGTCTATACTTTATAAATGAAATCATCTTTCTAAATAAAAAGAATTTTTTTAATTCTTTTACACGTTGTTTTTAAATTGTTACATTAGTAGAAGACTTCCATCACTCCAAGTAGTTGGGGCGTACAAAGTTGTGTCTTTTGCCAATGGCTTGAATTTGTTGCATACAGGCTAAGGAATATTTACTTTTAACCAAACAAATTTGTTTGAATGAAGAAAATTTATCATCTATTGGAAAGCATACAAGCTGAGGTATTTACTTTTAACCAAAAAAATTTGTTTTAATGAAGAAAATTTCTCATCTATTAGGAATATCATTGCTGATTTGATATTAAAAATTGGATGGGAGTTTTAAATCTGCTTGTATTCATAACAAAATGCTAGGAAATGAAACTGTCCATCTATGGTCACTTTGAATGGAAGAGGTTCTAATTGAGGTTGTTTCTTGTGTCCATTCTAATTTTGTCTATACTTTATAAATGAAATCATCTTTCTAAATAAAAAGAATTTTTTTAATTCTTTTACGCGTTGTTTTTAAATTGTTACATTAGTAGAAGACTTCCATCATTCCATAGCTTTTCATCCGTAGAATTTATTAGTACAATTCCTACCTTATTTACATCTCTAAAATTTCTAACATATTCGCATTTCATAGAAACCCAATAAATATATTTTCCACTACAAAATCACTTGGGTGCCCACAAAGAACAAATGAGGGTCATTTAATTAATAAAATTGCAACTTTTTCCTTTCTCCGAGCAAGGCCAAAAGTTTCCACTAAAGCATAGCCATAATAATAAAATTGAAAAAAAAAAAAAAAGGCTAAGGGAGATGGTTGTCTTGCAATATATAAACTTCAAATCACTCATGCCAGTTCCAATAATCCTTTAGGCTTTGTCAAAATCCTTTAAAAACCTATATTCCAACCAAAAGAAATATGTCACTGTGAAATGTAATTCAAAAAAAAACCGAAGCTGATTATCACAACAGTATAAAGTCCCTCCATGTAAAATTTAACGCATATAATGTAGTAAATATTTTCAGTAAAATTTTCTAACAAATCTAACCCCAACAAAAACATCTGATTCTAGCTCAATGAATTAGATTCAAGCTCCCCAAACAAAAATTTGAAGATGTCAAGGCAAAAAATTAAAAGAAAAGGCTCGTCAATGGACCTGCACAGCCCTTTCAAACCTCCAAAACCTGAAAATTTTCCAATTGAAAACAAAAATACAATATCCATGTTTACAAAGATTGACTAATAAAATAACCATGTATGTTGTAAGAGTATCTAAGATGCTAGTTTTCATTCTTTTTTTCCAGCTATCATGGAGATAAAAAAACTAGTATGAAGCTGGCATCCGAACATGATAGAAAATAAAGAAATATAAATGCAAGGTGAGTGGACACATGCAGGCATAGCAATAACTCTGAGTCCTAACATTATTAGTAGTATTTCAATTTTGAAGTGATAAATTACAATTTACAATAAGATACTTGGTCCAAAAACTTTTTTTAAAAAATGTACCTAACATTAATATCAACCCCAAAGACAGCCACCCTCCTCCATAATACAAAAACAAATATACTATTCCTAAAACAAATCATTCTAGAAAGTCAAGTAATCTGAGTTTTCCAACTAATTCATAAAATACAAAAACAACAAATCTTATCAAGCAAAGGATACCAATTAATGTAATGCACTAACGACATACCAACAACTTGCTGGAAAAAATGGTTTTATATAGGCATATTTTTAACCCTATTTGGGTGGACCCCAAACGTGTTTTGGGGTGGGTCCGAAAAGGTGAAGTGGTGAAAACGGAACGTCAAAACCATTTATGAGTGAATGGGAAGATGACGTCGTTTTCGGGTTTAACATTAATTTCTTTGATAAATTTCATTTGAATTTTTCAATAAAAATTATTGTGGGAATTTAATTTAATTCTAAATTCAAATTTTGGATTCCTGAGTGGTTTCCTAAGGTTTGTAAATTTGGGAGTTTAATTTAATTCTTATTTCAAATTTTTATTTCCTAATTGGTTTCCTAAAAATTTGATTAAACTATTTAAAGAGTTTAATAAAGTTATTTCTTTCAAGTGATAGATTTTTTATGAATTAACTTTTCTAACTATTCTAATAGTTTATTTATTAATGTTTCAAACAGTTTTTGTAACTGTTGCACTTCATAACCTTTCAAATTGTTTGAAAGCAACGGTCAAAGTTTACATTCAAATGGTTAATTTGAATAAGACACCTATTGACTATTCAAACGGACACTTTTGTTGCCTATAAATAGAATTGATATTCCAGCAATCTGTAGAGGTTGTTTTTTTTTTTAGAGACATCGAAAAAAAAAAAACCAGTCAGAAAAATAGTATGAAATTTTGTTCCATTGTTGTCCAAAATTTTCTATTTTTGCATTATTCTTCATTTTAGTTTTAGAATAAATTAAAGAGAGTATTAGAACACAGGTTTGGTTCGACGTACAAATTTGTTTGGTGTGCTACAACAATTTTGTGAAGATCATTGTATCCTGGGAGATAGACGCCACTCAACCGTAAGCACCGTAGCGGGGCGAATCTGTCTTAAGGACAGAGTGTCACACACTCGACTTGGTCTTAAATTATTTATTCAGTTTAATAAATAAATTCGGTACGTTATTTATTTATTTGTTTGGATTTATTTCTATTTATTTTATTTACACAGAAGATTGATCCTACACAACATAACAAAGGGCACCAACTAATGTACTCCAAAAAATATTCTTATCTCCTTACTCTCACCAACAACATACCAATGGCATGGAAATTCAGTAAAACCAAAGGACACCAACTAATGTACTCCAAAAAAAGTGTAACAAATAATAAAAAACCAAAATATCTAAATATAAACAATTATTATGAAACCAACTCTACTTTGACAACTTTTAGTTTGCGATTATTTCTCTCTCTTTGTATGGTTCTTCTCACAACAACAACAAACTAAACTTATCTCGCTAATGAAAAAAAACAAAAGAACCACCAAAAATGCATGA